GTTTGCTCCAGTACTTGAAGATTTCCAAGGACTTCCGGAGATCTGAATCACTATTTGTGCTGTTCTCTGGTGGGTCCAAGGGGAAGCAAGCTTCTAGATCCTCCTTAGCTAGGTGGTTGAGGCAGGCCATTATGGAAGCTTATGGAGTATTAAATGTTCCTCCCCCGTCTTTGGTGACGGCACATTCAACTAGAGCTTTGGCAACGTCCTGGGCCGAACGAGCTGGTGCTACGCCGGAACAGATTTGTAAGGCGGCAACATGGTCAAGTTTCTCCACCTTTGCAAAGCATTATCGCCTAGATCTCAATACCGCAGGGGATCAGGCATTTGGCAGGAAGGTACTACAAGCTGTGGTCCCGCCCTAATTGGTAAGTTCTTGGTTATCCTCTCGTGATGCTGTCCTGGAAGACGTTATGGGAAATTCAGAGTTAGGACTTACCGGTAACTCTATTTCCATTAGTCTTCCAGGACAGCAACTGCCCGCCCATTGATGCTTGTAGTGTTAATGTGATGTAGTGGTATTGCCTGTTTGTGCCTTGTCTTTTTCCAGCTTGCCTTCGGTTCTCGTAATGACTGAGGGAGTGGAGGAGAGGAGGGTCTTTTAAACAGATTAAGTGACGTGTTTCCTGTGTGTGGGGGAGGATGCTGTCCTGGAAGACTAATGGAAATAGAGTTACCGGTAAGTCCTAAGTCTGAATTTTGACTTCACTTGCATTTTAAAGCTGCAGTTCTCAATCAGTGGCACATGTACTTCAGAGACACGTGTGCTCTAATTTTGGGGTTAATTCTGCGTTCTGAATTGTGCACAGCAGGGTCTGATTGGCTCAGTATAGTGACCCTTCCCCTCTCAGCACTGCGTTCTACTGTGCAGGGTTTACTAAAGGCTGATATCGAGACAGATTGAGGTATTCACTAGTTGTACTCATGATACCAGTACATTTACACAATTACCCCTCTCGACTATAAAAAAAAATATGTATGTATGTGTTTTTATTTGAGCTGGCAGGGACCACGCTGTACTGTGCATGTGTGCTATTCTGCATCATTGTAATTGACTATAAAACTTGTGAATTAGCAGTGTTGTCATTGCAGGGACGAATGCAGAGAGCAAGTGGACCGCTATCCATCAGCAAGATACAAAAGGTTTTCAACATTCCAAGAAGCCAACAGCTTTGTAGATGAGCGAGACTATCCACCAAGAAGAGGTACCCTTATTCTGAATTGAACTTAAAGCCAAACTCTAGGGGAAAAAGATGATGCACTCACCACACTGGGTGTATAAATGATCACTATAAAGCTGTGTGTGTGTGGAGGGCTGCTGCTAAGGAGTGAGGGATGTGACTCAAGCAGTGAAGTGGTCCAGTTGCATCCACACCCCTCTTCACTTATTGCCCATTCACAAAATGCCTTGTAGTTTGATTGGAGAGGAAGGCATGTGACCTCTCTCCTCCTCCTCCTCCAATCACAGAATGCCTTGTATTCTGGGAGTAAAACACAAGGCATTTTGTGGAAGGGCAGACATGTGTCTGGAGCACTTCATTGCTTGAGTCGCATTCCTCACTCCCAGCAGGTTCCAGAAGATCAGAGTTCCGTCTAGGAGCTACCATGGTAAAGCTTTTATACATTGCAGAAGCTCTCCACACATAACATACATCTTTTTAATGATCACATACTTGGTGCTGTGTGTAAATGATTTTTTTTTTCCTGGGGCGTGGCTTTAACAGGCCATTTAGGGGAAAACCTAGTGCTGTTTGCAGTCCGCTACATTGGAAATGAACAATTTTCTACCATAGAATCCCTTATGAAGGATTGTCAGTGAGTGTGTTTAAAGGAGAACTATGAGGTGGGTGCTTTTCACTCACCTCATAGTTCTAGCCGACCTGTGCCAATGAGACTGTCGCAGGTCGGCTCAGTAGATCGGGAAGTGAGCGAATACATACCGGCGTTCGCTCACTACCGTGACGGGAGGGTCTGGATTCCCCCCTCCCCGCTCCAATCCACCAGCGCTGACTGGCGGAACAGACGGGGAGGGAGAGGGTACAGCTGGCTCTGCCTCTAGATAGGCAGAGCCTGCTGTCACTCACACAGCTGGGCGGATCCAGACATAATTGTCGGGATCCGCTGTGGCGTCTCAGTATAAGCTGTAGCTCGCTATATACTGAGCTTAGGGTAACGGGAGGACGCTAGTAGTTTGTGTCCTCCCGTTACCCTAAGGAGAACTATGGGGAAAAGCCCTAATCCCGTAGCTCGCTAAGGACAAGTCTACTTTTGTGTTTACTTGTACTCATTGATTTGCCCATATGCTGCATTATGCTGTCTGCTGAACCTGCCCCGTATCCTAACATAACGTCTAAACTAAGCCCTAGCATTAATCTAACCGTTTGTGTGCACGCATGTCCTCCAAGTACAGCCATGCTGAATCCTGACACTTCTGCATAGAAAGATACAAGCAGCAAGAAATATTGATGGTAAAGTACCTGGGAAATCTATGTTGACTATCAATTTTCACTTGTACTGAAGCATATATTTTGTATTTCCTTTCACAGAAAGGTCAGCAATGGTATACACTGATGGATGCTGTTCTCGCAACGGCAGATATGGAGCTACAGGTGGAATTGGTGTCTACTGGGGTCCTGACAGTTCACTGTAAGCTTTATTGATTTATAAGTTGCACCGAAGAATAAGGCTGCTGGTGTCTATGTATGCTTTACAACTGCATGTGCTAATCTTCCTAAGTGACGGTTGACCCTTATGCTGGCTATACATACAATAGAGAACAAATAGATTAAGGCAAATCCATGCTATAGATATAGGTTAACTGGGGCAGATTGTTTTTTGCATTAAACACTTTTTTTTAACTGGTTAATGTCTGTATGTCATGTTAAGGCAAGCGGATGGATCTGACGATGCATGATGTACTGTATACTCGAATGGATTTGTGTATGCCAGTAATTAAATCTGAACTCCAGGCAGATATGTAAAACACTATTGCAGTTAAAAGTACACTGCCTGACCAATAATAAGTCACCACCTGGATTTCGGCCAGTGTTCTGATCTGGAATTGCTTCAGTTGGTCGGTCTAGGTTCAGCTTAGTTGTGTCCAAAAAAATGGTCAGCTGCCTCCCTGAATATACTGGCACATTAAGCATATTCCATGATGACAATGCCAGGATTCATCGGGCTCATATTGTGAAAGAGTGGGTCAGGGAGCATGAGACATAATTTTAACACATGGATTGGCCACCACAGAGTCCAGACCTTAACCCCATAGAGAGTCTTTGGGATGTGCTGGAGAAGATTTTACACAATGGTCCGACTCTCCCATCACTACTAGGTCTTGGTGAAAAATGAATGCAACTCTGGATGAAATAAACATTGTGGCATTGCATAAGCTTATCGAAACGATGCCACGGCAAATGCGTGCTGTAATCAAAGCTAAAGGTGGTCCAACTAAGTGTGTGTATTTTTATATATGGGGTGGGGGTTGACTTACAAGCAAGTCTGTCTCCACAGTGCATTCCACAGTGCTGTTAGTCTAACACTGGGAATTTTCTGACAGGAGATAGAGTAATAAAATGTGACAATTGCCTAGAGTTCAGAATCCTTTGTAGCCCAATGAGGTAAACAAACTGGTTTGAGTGATCTGTGCTGTGAAATGGTATTCTCTGCCTTGTGTTACAGAAACGTTTCTGAAAGATTGGAAGGAAGACAGACGAATCAGAGGGCTGAGATACAGGTAGAGAACCCCTTCTGTCGTCATGCTTGTTTTCCTGGTGTTCTGGTACTTCAAGCAGGTAAAGCTGTATGTTTGAACATGCAAGGCTGCTACTCTAGGCTCGGCTGTAGTCTGATTTAGCTTTACAGGCCGTTACAAACTGGTGTTTTTTTTTCCAGTCCATTTTGAGGTAGTTTCTTTTTTATAATAACTCAATTTCTTTAAACTCAGGCTGCAGTTAAGTATACAGTTTGTTTGTACGGTTTTTGCTGGTTGGAGTAGCCTAGAAGTGTTATCTGAAAATGTGCATTCTTGTCTCTCCAGGCAGCCTGCAAGGCCGTACAACAGGCACAGAGTCAGGACATTAATAGGCTTAATGTTCGTACAGACAGCGAGTTCACTATAAAAGGTGAGTGTGGACAGTCCTATCCACGTGTGTACTAAATAAAGTCGATTGCAGAAGTGTCATTGTAGTGGCCAATCTACTAATCTCTGTTCATACATGTAAGAATGTGAAATTCATATTGGCAAGGGCAATAATAACTCCGAATGAGCTCACTGAATACATGGGTTCCCCTTAAAACTACTTGATGTTCAATATGGGGGGTGAGTGTGTAAATTATTTTGGGAATTTTCTGGTATTTTGTCTTCCGTGTTTGTCTTTGCTGGGTACCTGACTTGTAAAAGTCTAGATGGAATTCTTAGTGATGTGCACACTGAAGTCCCAAGAAGACCTTTAAGAATTTTATCTGGGAGTAGTGGAATACATGATTTTCATGCAACCCCTGCTGGCTGCTTTTTGTATTTGGATTAAAATACACCAAAGGCAATATACAGCCTTTGCAGAACAAGAGCAGTTATAGACACATTTGATATTGCTACACAGATTTTGTGATCCTTTACTAGGGGTCAGACATGGCGTTGTGCCACATAAAATGCCCCAATTAGGGCAAAGTTTGACATCTGAAGTTGGGGGGTAATGATGCACTCAATTTTTGGGGGCTCCCTTCAATTTGTCTCGAGTGCTAGATGCCGTTGCCTTGTTTCTGCCAACATCCCACTGAAGGGGTTAATGTTGGTGGAACAGAACGCGTGCATTGAGCTCTTTAACACCAGCCAGCTATGGCAACCAGCCAGGAAAGAATCTCCCTGTACCTGCTGCAGAGCCATATGACACACGGGCCTGTATTCCTTTCCTGCTACCTGCACTGATGCTCGCCTTTTGGCTTTCTTGACTAGCGGGTCTTGATCTTGTATCGCTGGCTCATTGTGCCTTGCTTCTCTACTTGGGCCTGTAAGTTGTCTACTGCTATTGCAATTGAAACATGTCTGACTTTTGAACATATGGGGAGAGGGAGGGAGGGCGGATCATCTTGCAAACCTGGGCGATCCCAGTGCACAATCCACTAACGGGTCCTGCTCTGTATGCATTGCTTTCATTTGGAAGTGAGGACTTTCTTAGTTTTCAGTTTAGTTTACCACAAATGTTTGTCAGCCCCTGTAATCGGAGGTGTCCCCTTTTGCGTAGGGCACAGCTTCCTCCTATCATGAAGAAGCTGCCTTCTCTAGATTTATGTGGGCAGTCCGCTTGATGCCAATACATTTGGGGCTTAGCAGTTGTGGAACCTAAATGAGAGCCTAAAACCATCCTGCTGCTGCTGATGGCATTATTTTATTTGTATAGGGTTCGGTTTTTTTTTTTTGGTCAATTAGCAGTGTGGCCCTGAGCTTCTTGGCTTTCTACATATGACCTCCTGACAGCCTATGTGAATGGGGCTGCACCAGTACTACACTGGGGGGCCACTGCAGTTCGCTGCTAAGTGGACTCCTCCTTCACAGGGGTGGAAGGACTTGGTCGGTGCGGAGATGTGGCCATGCATTAGGAGCCTTGTTTTTCTTGTGACACCAGCAACAGAAGTTGAATGGGCAGATGTCTACTAAACAGAAAAGCAAGCAAGTATTTTTATGACGTACACTGTACGTCTCCCGTCACGAAGGGGTTAATGACCCAGAGTGTTTAAGCCAACCTGTATCTAGTATCTGAGATTGGTGGTCAGATATCCTGGGCATGCCATTGAGGATAGTGCAGTGGAAGAACAGGGTTACTGATCATGTTCTGTTGGCTCCTCCTCCCACATGGGTTATGTGTTTAGAGTTTTTCGGAAAGAAAGGGGGAAGTGTCATTTAGGGCTGGTTCTCACCACAAACCATGTTCCAGAGCGTTTGACCCCTGGAACGCAAGCTGGCCGTCTCTCTGCATTTAGGGGCGTGGTGGTGTATTGAAGTCAATGGCACTGCAGCCACGCCCCCCGCCCGCAGTGCGATCTCCCACGCCCGGAATGCAGGCACATTAGTGTCTCCCTTCCAGTCCAGTGCGTTCTGCAAAAATACTGCAAGCACTATTTTTGCAGAGCACACTGGACCAGAATGCAAGCACTAATGTACCTGCTTTCTGGGTGCGGGTGATCGCACTGCAGGGGGCGTGGCTGCAGTGCCATTGACTTCAATGTACTGCCACGCCCCCTCCTGCCCCTGAAAGCAGGGAGGCGGCTGGCTTGTTTGCATTCCAGAGGCAGAATGCATGAACGTGGGTTTGTGGTGTGAACCAGCCCTGAACTGCTCAAAGCATTAGATGAGTGTTTTTTGGTTTTCCATACAAAGCTAATTTGGGGAGGGGACTATGCGAATTGTGCTAATCGTGTAACTGTCAACTGTCCATTTCTGATTACATTGCAAAATCTAAAAAATGGGGTTCCAAAATATAAACCTTTTGCAATTTTCCTTTTCAATATATTTGTGTTAACTGTTTTAGAAAACTGAAGCAGGATTTGTACAAGGCCTCATGTGCCTATATTTATTGTAGGTATGACCGAATGGGTGCCTAGATGGAAGCAAAATGGCTGGAAAACTATCCATGGTGGGGATGTTGTCAACAAGGAGGACTTTCAGAAATTGGATAATCTCTGTAAACAAGTTGATGTCACATGGGTAAGTCATTTTGTGAATGATTGCTAATCTGTTTTTTTTTTCTTCACACAAGAGGGGGCTCCATAGGATCTTGCAGGAAGCTAAAACATAAAGGGGCAGATGTGATTTGATCAGCATTTGAAATGGATTAACACCTTCATGACTGACCTTGTTTTTAGTTTTTGTTAATGACTATCATGTCTGAAAAAGCTGAACTCTTTCATTAATGGATGCCTCAATACTGAGGAATCCATTAATGAACGGTGACTGTTGATACTCAGCGATTACCAGCATTGTAGAGCCGCAAATAACTGGCCTTGTGCTATGTGAATGGAGCCTGTAACAAGTAAGAAATTATGTGTTATCCCAATTTGGCTTGCTAAGTGGAAATGCACTTTAAGTCTAAGGTTTCCTTCCTTAGGTTCTTTGGCTCTCCCAGCTTTCTCCTGGGAGAATTTACAATAGTTGTGCAAGAATGTATGGGCCAAATTGCAGCTTACGTGACTGCAGAGAGGGCATTAGTGTGCTTCTGTGCCTTCCCCGGCAGAAGCCTTATATGATCTGCCTTTGGCATTAATGACCTGTAAGCTGATTAAACCATCTATCGGTTTATACCCTATCAGTCTCCAAGTTTGTAACAGTTGATGTTCGTTTTTCAGCAAGTGCAGGTTGCTAGTGTTACTACCAGGCTTAGAGACTGTAGAGGCTATTGACTCAGATTGCAGTACTTTACTACTAGAGGATGAGCTTGTGCACTCTGTTCCTGATTTCCTTTACAGAACCTGTAAGAACACTGGCAAGGTGTTCATACTTTCCAAGTAGCTATGAATCCTGTACGTGTGTTGAGGAGGACTTAAAGGAGGTTAAAATGACGACTACCCTTGCTGTAGATCAAGTAGTTTCCCATCTTAAAGGCACGTGATTGGGGTCCTATCTAAAATAAACCAGACCCTACATTGCAACCCACTGGGGTAGTGACTTTAGTCTGCCAAACGTGCTGAATTTGGCCAAGCCATCAGGTGGGATTATGTTGCTATTCAATCTTATCCTTACATTTGGGAGTGTCTGGAGTTTGTGCATGAACCCATGAGCTACTGATGGGGATAGGTTGTTGATCTCTATACGCACTTGAATCTCATGTCTGAACACGAGGATAATTCTTTGGCTGGGCTGCAGAACCAGCATGTAATTGCCTGTTTGTATTCTTGTCCAAGCTGCCCTGGACACCCTAATTGAGTCTTGTTCCTTGGCTTGCAGGGGCATTCATATTTTCCAAAGTGGGGGGGGGTAAATGACAAACGCACTCAACAATTTGTCACCAGCTATACAGTCAGGTGCACACGAAATGGGCTTTAAACAGAAACAGTAGAAAGTTATCATGGCACACTCACAAGCCAGCATGTAAAAAAAACTTCTCACCACTAAGGTTAATAACAAAGGTTTGGATACACGTCTTCTGCAAACCTGTTATTAACCTTAGTGGTGAGACACGTTCCTTTACATGCTGGCTTGTGAGTGTGCCATGATACCTTTCTACTGTTTACTGTTTAAAGCCTGTTTTGTGTGCACCTTACTGTATAGCTGGTGACAAATTGAGTGCGTTTGTAATTTTTTTGCTTGACTTATTTGGTGCAGTGATGCATGGGGGTTCTCAGCTGCCATTGGGATGTGCGGGATCCCTTGTGTGTTCCTTTGCCTTTTTTAAGGGAGGTCGGGCTTCCTCCTGACAAACCTGCACCCAATTTGAAATCTGCCCCCATGTGCTCCAAGATGGAGACTCTCAGTTTAGAGTTAGGACCGCACTATAAGAGGTGCCTTGGCGCGGCAGTGCGGCTTACACATTTTCTGCAGAAGACGTGTATCCAAACCTCTGTCATTATCCTTAGTGGTGAGACAAGTTTTTTTTACATGCTGGCTGGTGAGTGTGCCATGATAACTTTCTACTGTAAGCCTTTGCAGACATTTTGGTTACCCGCATATTGGATACTTGGGTGAGGGAGGTAGTACCTAGGGAATACCTGCCAAAATTCCAGTCAACCCTCTTGTTCATGTTGTCCATCCTGCCTGCGTCTCTGCAGACTAGCAGATTACAATGCAGCCCTTGAGGGACTTCTGGAGCAAGAGGTTATTGTCTAAGTGCCTGTGTGAGAACAGTTCCAGGGGCACTACTCCACCCTGTTTAGTCTTCTTCCAAATCTTCTATTTAGGAGCTTTATACACGGGTGGGTTCCCCCTGTACACCTCCCCTCCTGAATCTGTGGGTTCTTATAAAACGTTTGAGCCAATCAGGGATACTCCCCTTTCTACTCTCAGGAAGGTTGCATACTACTTTGCCATTACCTCTGTGAGGTGAGTCTTTGTGGTGGCCTTATCCTGCAAAGAACCCTTTTCTGGTGCGGCACATGTTGAGGCCCAGAACTTCCTTCCCACCTAAAATATTTTCAGCATATTCCCTGAAATCAGAACATCTTCCTTCCCTCTGTCCAGCTCCTGTTCATTAGGAGATCTCTCTCCCTTGGATGTAGTTTGTGGTATGCAGGTTTAATTCTCAGCCACTGACTTTGTCCTTCCTCATAGTCCTAGTTAGGACCAGCCTGCTTCTCTTTCCATGGTTGCTTGGTGGCTTAGACAATCACTTAAATGTATGGTTTTATGGTGTCTAATGTTAGCGGCAGCAGTATAACCCTGTTACCCGTAATGGACCCCAAGAGATGTATTTTATGGTGAGTATAAAAGTTGTATCTTCTAAGATACTGTAAATTGGATGGTTGGACTGAAAACCCTGAAATATTGATTGGTGCTATAATCTCGAACGGTGTAATATAAATGGCATTGTTTAGCCTTTTGCTGAAATTTGTAATATATTTCTCAACATTTAAGCAATGTATATTTGAACTTGTGTTTTTATATTAATTGTTTGTCTATCTCCCATTCTTTTGTGCAGACTCATGTTCCAGGACATACTGGTCATGAGGGAAATGAAATGGCTGACCATCTGGCAAGGAGCGGAGCAAGAAAATAAAATATCACATGTATTGCAATGTGTGGGTTCCAACAGTTGATACAAAATAAAATCCCTTGTTGTATGTTTTAAGCAAATTGCATTTAAGTGTTGCTACTGGAGTTTTGGTATTTGTGAAAAACGTGGCACTTGTTCTCAGATGTGCACAAATTGCAGTTTAAAGAGGAAAAAAAACCATGGATGTGTAATTGTTTATACTCCGCTTGTATATTTGTGTGATGTTAATGCTCTTATTTGAATGTTCAATCCTAAATTGTTCTGCATTAAATTTTTATATTGCAAGTAGTTTGTTGTTGTGTGGGGGTTTTTTGTGTGTCATCAAATCATTATAAGAAAGGTTTATGTTAAATGATAAAATAGCATGTTATATTTTGTATTTAGGTTTTCTTAAACATGTCAAAAAGGGTGTAGCATGTAACTTGTTTCACTTCATCTAACAGTCATGAAGTGAAACAAGTGTAAGGGCTCGCACGATCCAAGCCCCCGACATAATATAAATGTAAAGGTGCCAATAAAGCTCTCCAGTATGAGACTACGTAGATTGGGAAAATACTGTATAGAGGGCAGGCAGGGTGAGGAAGGGGGAATTGGAAAAAGGAAAAGGTGTCGCATTAAAACAAGAACCACTAATAGGTCCACAATTTCCATTTATTATCAAACTAACTATATAGCCAGTTTTTAAGCCGCATGAAGTCTTTTAAACTCGTAATGCAGTTGTAGGGTTTTAGAGGTTTTACCTACAGATACACTCGGGACTATGCCAGTGTCTCAGGATAGTAAGTTGGGCAGCTAATGTGTGGACAAGGAGTGGGTGAGCTTGGGTAGGGGAGCGTTCCACACTAAGAGGAATATGCTTTTCCAATAACTTGCAGGACCAAATGTGTAGGTGAGTACCAGTCTGGCCAGTTTCTCCGGCATAGAGCCAAAGCAGATGGGTAGAATTCATAGATTTTATAGGGAGTTGTGTATCAACGTAAGGAGATTTAATGAGAGAGCACAAATCTGTGTCTTTTGTTTTTTAAGGACCAATCAGATTGCCACTGGTCAGGAGAAAAGAGAATTCCCATGCTTGAAATGGAGGGAGCTTGGCAAATGAGTATTTCTGTTTGGGGAAGGAATAAAAGTGATTATACCATGCTTGTGGGGAAATGTGGATGAACAATCCTCCCAAATATGCTAAGGCACCTGCGGCCAGGCTTTGAGTAAAGATAGGAGGGTGTGTGTAAATTGCAAGTGTCTAAAATGGTCGTTGAATGAGAGCTCAAAAAGGAAGTTGGAAGGGTGTGGTCTGAGATCGTGTAACCGGTCCTGCATGGAATCTATACCCCTTCTGGGGCCAAGAGGCGAAATTGGGGATAAGCAAGGCCAAGCATGACAGTTCTATGGGGAGTGATTAAATGATCCGAGTAATATGCAAAACGAGTGCCATGCCAGTACTGTTGCTTGTATGGCAAGTGGGGGATGGGGAAATAGAAGAAAGGTTAGTGTGGAGAAGTAAAAAGGGATAAAGTACCGTTCCTTGGACCATATCTCTCCAATAAAGTCTACCATTTGTCATCAGACTGGGGCTAGTATAGAAGCTGAGTATTAGTCTTTGCGGTCAGAGTATTCCCAACCCTTACCCTGTGCCATGTTTAAGTGAGCATCTACGCCTTTTTATGATGCCAGACATATTTTGAGAGGAAGTAATGATCTGAAACACCAATTAGGGACAAATGGGGATAGTTCTAAATAGGTATAGGAGTTTAGAGAGTAGCATCGGTTTAAAGGCACCTATTCTAGCCGACCAAGTGAGAAAACTCTTTGCCCTGGACAGTAGCTCTTTCTTAAATTGCTCTAGGAATGATACGAAGTTAAGTTGAAATAATTTTGACGGTGGATCGGCAAGTTTATGCCCAAATATGGAAGGCAGCTAGTCCACACAAAGGGATATTTCGCTTGGCTATAAATACAGGTAACTATGTCAACATTATTACCTAGAATATTACATTTACTGCTTATAACTTTATAATAGGAAACCTTGGTGAAATCCGCTAGAAGTTGGTGAATGCGTGCCAAGGAAGACTCCGAATTGGAGAGTTAAAGGAGCACATCAGCGAATACTGTGATTTTATGTGGCGGGGAGTCTGGGTGAGCGTTAATGCCCCAAATACTTGTCAGATCTAATGGAGGACGCTCGGGGTTCAATTAAAATCAGTGGGGACAACAGGCACCCCTACCTAGTTCCATTTGTAATATATCACAAGGGGAAGATAAGCTACCTGAGGTAAAAACCTGTGCTGAAGGAGAAGAATAAAGTGCTTGAATCATAATAGGTAACCCGATCAAAACCAATTTCGTAAGAACGCATTGGAAGTATGGCCAATTGTATCAAATGCTTTTGCTGCATCTGGACCTTTCAGCCTTTCCTGCCTCCTTCACAACCGCACATTTACTACAATCCATGGTCGTACTGGTCTCCCTTCTCCCTCCAGAGATAAGGTCGCAGTTGATATCCTTTCCTAATGCCTACTTCTGTGCTATATCAGTGGTGTTTTTGATTCCTTAAAAGCCCTTATCTTTGCCGCATTATTATAAATTTCCACTTTGGGTGTGGTATCGCCTTTGCTTCATGTCTATCCCCAAATTCTATATATAGCACATATGCATTGGGTCAACAAGAACGGCAGCATTAACTTTATTAGTCAAAGCACACTTCTCACAAACTCTTCCCATTGGTGCTTAATCACGGAGCTTATGGTTGTGCTATGTGCTTTAAATAATGGTAAGTGGGATCATTACTTGGTGTGCAGATGTAATTTTTAATGGGGGAATGGAAAAAATAAAACTATTTTAACGCTAGCTCTTGTCGGCCTCAGTCCCAAGAAATCACATTTGCTTAGATAACTGTGTGTTCCAAAATTGAGTTGACATGTTTGTTTTTTTTTTTTAAGCTAGCTTATGAATTATGTTTAAGAGCTGACAATCTCTTTCTGAACTCGAAGTAGTAATACTCTCATTTATTTACACAAAAAATTAATTTCTCCCTAGAATAACTTGTCCAAGGAGCTCACAATTTCCTACAAAACCTCAGACAGGTAATCCCTCCACCATAGAATCTAGGCATAAAGCGTTTTGTTTTTCAAAAAACAAATGTCCACTGTTCTAGTCAATATATCTAGGGCGTGGAAAGGGCTTTTCTCAAAGCAAGCTACACACAGAATTCCCAGTACACTAACCAGCTAGCAAACAAAAAAAACATTGTGTCTAACAATTTAAGTTAAAAACAGAGGTTTTAGTTATACACATTTCCAAATATATGTGGAAGCCACACTGCCTTGTCAAGGCTTCTCTGTGTAGTGTGGTCCTAACTCCAATCAATGAGAGCCTCCTTCTTGGAACATATATAGCAAAGGATGAGTTGAGGGTGGATATGCCTGGAGATAGCCAATTCCGCCTTAAAGTACAGGGCACACCAGAAGCCCAGCACGATGGCAGGTGAAAACTCCAGTATGTCACTGGGGGACACTCAGGAGGAGAAATGTGAGTGACACCCTGCACAAAGGTTTTCTCTAGGGAGTAAGAAGTAAGTGGTCTTTGAAAAATAACCACCAAAACTGAGATTTGGCACTTGATTTGGCTAAATGTTGATCCATGCCAGACTGGAGGGTGCTTCCTGGTTTGGAAAAGCCCTTTCAATGTGCACCTTTCTTTGAAAAGCTAGTTATAAATTGACTGGAGACGTTACCATTTTGTTTTAGTTTGCTAGATTTGGTGTGGGGACACACTGGAGGTCTTCAGTTGTCTTTGTAGTGCTCTGGACTTTTGCTTTTACACTTAATGTTTTTGCTATGACATAGGGGGCTAAAAGCCACTATGTAATAGTACTGGCCCTCTTGATGGAGACATTAGGGATCTCTAAGACCCCTAATGTCACCTGGGGACCTCCAAAGAAGCAGAGATCTGCTGGGCACATACAAGCACTGCTGGGCACATACAAACGATCAGACGGCTATAGAGTCGCTCGAATGCCCACTGCATTCATGTCACATCTTCAGTCTGATTGAGTGTTTTTAGACTGACCGGCCGGTTTTGTGGAATTTTTCGTTTTATATTTTGTTCAAGCGCTTTTTTATTCACTGAACTATCCTAATTTACTACACCATGGAAGTACTGCCTTTTCTTTCCTGACTTCGAACGGACGTTTGACATAGGGACAGCAGCAAACCCTGTGAAGGTCAGGATTGTGAAGAGGATGGCGAACGGCTACCTGCATCTTGGTGCTGTACATGGCCTGAAAACATCTGCGGTCCAGTGAGTACATATCCTAAAGGGGATTTCTGCGCTTCCTTCTTTTACATCACAAATTATCACTGAATTGGACACACTTTCTCTTCTTCTGACTCTGGACTGTTTGGATCATCTAGAGTAGTTGGAAGAAGAATGGGAGATCGCACCATTGAACATATTGGTTGTTAGAGACAATTTTTTCTTTTTCACAGATTTTTCTACACATTTTTGGAAACATCAATTTATAACTTTTTTATTGCTATTGATATTTGTTGTACTTATACATTAGATGATATATTGAATATCACTTACTTTGATTATTTCATATCATATAAAGTTCACTGTTTTGGGTTTTTTACTAGGAGATATTCATAGTCACATTTCATTGTGACATTTTGTTTCACAGTTCCATTTGAGTATATATGGTATATTATTCACTTCGATCATATTATACTGAGTGGCTCACTGTTTATGTTTTTTTAATTGTGACATTTGTTTAATTTATGTGAGGATACATTATATATTATTCACTTTGATCATAACATACTAAGTGGTTCACTGTTCATGTTTTTTACTAAGATATATTTTATAATCACATTTGATTTTAGATATATGTGGTACAGGTTTGTTGAAAACATTTACAATTTTGACAAAGACATTAGTCAGGGCCTGTGGGCCTAGGAAATAAGCTGTTAACTACTCAGAGACTGATACCTAAGGCACAATAGTCCTAGGAATACATGGCAAACATCTCAGGTGTGTTCCATTGTCTTCTGCCAAGCTAATGTACACACTTTGAATGCTTCTAGTGTGGCAGCAGGCAGAGGAAAATGTCTGGGTCTAGCCAGGATGGCGGAGTTGTATGTTCTAGATTCAGATGTAATACTGAAGCTCTTCCTCTAGGGGGAAGTGCTGAGAGGGCTGGAGGCTTGGAGGAAACTAGCCCAGCTGAATCTGTAAAAAATAAGTCAAGGCAACTGGACGTGCTGTATTTTTCTTGAAGACGTTGTACTGATCATCTAACCTGCTTTCTCAATTCAGAACCATTTATACCATGACCTGGATGAATGAGAACCTTCACAAACATATTGTAGCCCAGCTGAAGCTAGCTAATGCCTCTACAAGTACTCCCAGCCTCCTAAAGGTGCCCATACACCTTGCGATTATCGTACGATAATCGCGGGAAATCCCGAGATTGTACGATAATCGGCAGGTGTATGGAAGGCGTGCAACTGTTTCTATTGTACGGTCGCACGTCTTTTGTCGAACGAGCATGCTAGAAAACCCGCCGAGAATGGTACGATTGTCGGCGTGTTTGTGGCTTGCTCATTCGACAACTGCTGAACGGGCTGGTGTGCGCACGGAACGGGCTGGTGTGCCGTTCAGCATTGTAGTCATCGGAAGCCCGCCCCTCAGCGGGGCGGGCTTGCGATAATCGCAAGTACGATCTGCCTGTCCAAGATGGGCAGATCGTACAAGCTTTTAATTAGCTTACAACCATCGCAAGACAAAAGTCTTGCGATGGTTGTAAAAAAAAAAGTCTTGCTATGGTTGTAAGGTGTATGGGCACCTTAACCTCCCTGGCGGTAATCCCTTCACTTCAATTGTGTCCCTAGAGCTTTGTCCAGTGCCCTGCCCGACACTTTTTTCACAATTATAAAAAATTATAATAAAATAATTAAACAAATGGTCCAGTAAATGGTAATTCTGGGGTCATTACAGGCCTACAATATAAACAACAAATTTCCATGCAAAAAATTGTACCGCTTTTGGTGCAAAGTTCCTGACATAATCATACCGCCAGGGAGGTGAAGGAAACAGCTCCACCCTAGAAGCAGTCTGTGTGACTGGAGAGCGGATCACCTGTGTGGTCAAAAGCAGCCTGTATGGCAAGAGGATAAGAAACAGCCTGTGTGGCAAGCGTGTTTGATAAGCGTGTGTGGGAAAGGCTTTTGATAAAGCAACAACCTGAAGTCGGTGAGACTTTGAAAATGTTAATTTTGTTGAAGGAAAAAACTGTACTTTATGTTTGAAAACCACTGCGAGGGAGAACCTGTGTGGACTTTTGAGTTTATGTTCATAAAAATGGTAAAGAAGCTCTGAAAAAGAAGTGGTAAGCGAGTGGAAGTGTCCTTAATGTGCTACCATTGGAAGCTAATTCTCACACTAGTTATAACGTTTCCAGGGTTTTCTAAGTTTGAGATGAACTTGGTGACTTGATCTCTTCAATTTCATACAGATTTTATATCAAAAGTTCTGACATAATCAGAAGACTCTGATTCCCAGAAGAGTGGCAGCTCCTGGGTAACTTTGATCAGTGAAGCAGTGCCTTGGCCCGGAGCTGTCACAGGCATGGTGTTTTGTCAGATCAGCCAGTGTCGTCGCTTTCTGGTGACGCACAATCAGCTGTGTTAATGAATAGCGGATTACTACGTATGCGCACTGCATTCTGATGGGCTGATATAGCAGCTAACATTGGTAGCCTTAAGATTTGTCCGTAGTCTTTACAGCGCATGGGCAGGAATAACAGTAGTAAAATCCAATCATTATTGTGCTGTAAACTCCAAGAGAAGTGACGCCATTATCTCATCTAAAGAGAACCTGTCAACTCCAAATGCTATCACAGAGGGGCTTGTTATCCTCTGTATGATAGTAATAAAATTCAGTAAAATTTAGGGGGCAGGGAGGCATGTGCCCTGGGCGCCGCTAATGCACGCTTTACTGTTGGGGCTCCTCGGCAGCCA